GAATCAGCCAACACTCCGTTAAAGTGTGAAATATTATTCACAAGCGAGATCTAGTAGCCTTGCAATTGTAGCGAGCTTTGGTGGCTTTATCGTTTCTGTGTCCTTTGTGACCACACCCCAAAACCGACTCACCCTCGATTGTTTAAAGTATATATAGTACTTTTCTGATAGGTATTTTATATATTTTTATACCTAAGTTATGCTGTTCGCGTTACTACCCTCCATGTTACTTATGGTCACGGAAAAATGCCGGCCGACAGGCAGGCCTCGAGCGGGAGGACTTACTTTTGATCCCGTATACGATGATCAATAACTGCCCCTGCCGCCTTGCCCCCTGTCAGAGGCTCTGCCGTTGCTGGCGCTTACTGGGCAATCGGAGTGCTGGTGACGAAGACACCCCTTCCGGTTCCCTTGTTTGTAAACACCGCCCCAATCCAACGCAGCGTCTTTTTCTCCTCCTTTAGTCCAATCATGCTTGTAACACGACCATCTTTTGATACTGTTGCGCAGCTGCAATGGCCTGTAAGTGCTACCTTATGGAACTACTAATACAGATTCTTACGACGGATTCAGGCTCTACATGCCAAAGGAGCTGATCTTCTTGGTTTCGAATTTAGGAGATCTTTTGAGCCATCTTTATTGTGGCTTACTTAAACCAGGTATCTTGCACTCCTCCGATAGGCGTGGGTAGAACAATAAGAAGCCACATATGGGGGTGTTGACTTCGCGTAGAAATGTGTTGCCACCCAGCAATTGAAGCTTTATTTTAGAGTATTGTTACAACATTCTCGTGATAACGATGCGTTTGACCCGGCCGTATTCGTCGTATCACCTGTGCAGCAGGTAGTACTAGCCAGCACGAACTCATCGAAAAGCCCATCTGCATGACGCTAATTCGCCGGCCACCGCTACTAATAAAGATGCCATAGCATCCACTCGCTCGGTCAAAAATGAGATGAGGACCATTAGAAGTGGAAGCATTTCGAGATCTATTGTGGACCAGTCTGATATCAACGTGAAGGCCGTCCGTAGTACCTTCACCATCACGCCTTATGCTTATTACACCGTAGTGTTATATTTACTAGAGCTAGCTGCTATCTGAATGGAGATGAGTAGTCTTAATTCCTGAAAGGGGTAGCTCGGGATGTGTATCACAACACGGACGGCACTTTTATTCAGAACTAGGTAGGCGGGCCTTCCATCCCTGTCCAGATTCCTGATACCGTGCTCGCTGATATGCGCCGTGCAGCCTAATTAAGGTTGTGACTCTAGTCATTCTCGGGGAGCAGTCTCTGCGGGTAGGCTGGGGGTGTCGTTCTTTCCAGCTGGTGAACAGAGTCGACCCCCTCGAGGTTGGCACCAGGCTTGGCTGCAAAGCCCCCCAGCATCGTAAAACTACCCTTCATCACACTCATTCTCCCTTCGTTATGAAGCTCCTCACAGCACGTGAAATTGTCCTACATTATTACCCTCATGTCTCCATCTAATCATGAGAAGCAACCATAACCACAAATCGACAGTACGGCCTCAGGGGCGTCAGTCCTTACCCACTGCTGTGTATCTCCAGTCTTCCTAGTCCCACGACAACCAAACTTTATCCCCAACCGCCATCATCATGAGAGGTTGGCGAAGTGCTCTATTGATCATTGTGGTCACAGTATTAGGTCTAAACCTCCTGCTCCAGAATGTGAACCTTCTCGAGATTTTTAATTTCGAAGCGATCCTCCTGTTGATACTCGTGGCACTTATTCTAATTTTTGCCCTAAGTTGGGTAGTATTCCATTATACATTGGGGGTTATTATGCGACTGTAAGACTACCAACTTTGATATATGCACTCGACTAACTCTATACGAAGGTGGCAAGATGGCCATGGACATAATGGGAGAGAGAGAAGCGAAGTGTGAATGACTATGGGCTTTGCGAACCTGCTGCTATGGAACCTGCTGCTATGGAACCTGCTGCTATGCGTTCAATTTTTTTCGAAGAAGAGCGTACTCCGATACCGTTTAGAGCTTCGTGGCCCCAATTGTATAGCGCAGGACATTTATCTGATAACGAACGAAGATGTGTTACGCCTTGCTCACGCAATTTATCCATCGTGTTGATATGGGGTGGGACAATCTGGTACCTGTTTCCTAGAAGATGTACGATATCATACACGCTGAACGCGTTAATATTGAGTTCTCTAGCTAGAATTTCCACGAGAGCAGTGAATGTGATTTTCAGCTGTTCCTCGTCCGTGTTAACCGTGCGATCTGGTCGGTTCTCTAGTAGTAAATGGGTGTACAAATGCAGCTAACGCCGTTAGAGATGTAAGGGCTCCAGTTAAAGCTTGACTTCTGTCGACGACATGCTTTGATGTGAACAAGAAATTTTATGGCCTGACAGATAAGGCAACCAATGAGAAGCAGTACATCTTTTAATATAATGTGTAGCGGCTGGAGAGACATGTTGGATTCAAGAAGGCACCGAAATGGAGGTATACTAATCGGTGGGTGGCACTATGAGGAAGACACTCCTTCCGGTTCCCTTGTTTGTAAAGCCGGTACTTTGTATTATGAACAATGTAATAAGTGACAAGAGCATTGGTCTCACCTATGAATCGATTGGGCAGCTTAGGCGAATCCTACCGGTACACGCCATGGGTGTAGGTAGCTCCTATTCAGAATAGCGAGCCTTTAGCAATATGACCCGTCGTTACAGTTCTGTCATTTCGAAACCTGCATAAGTGGCTCAAGGATAAACGGACCAAAAGGGTCTCTTTGCATAATATCACAGTCTCCAGTGACCTCAAAATCGCCTTAGTTCAATGAATGAGACGCAAGTATTCTAGACATTTAGGAATTTAAGTAAAGCTCTAGCTATTGTCCTTTCCAAATGAAATATGCGTTAAGATGGAGTTCCATCACCATTTCCAATTTTCCTTTGATCGTCCACCTTCCACGACGTCTTTCCAACTTGTTTTCAACTCGACAGCAACGCCCTCGAAATAATAAGACAGGTGTACGAGAGGTCCAGCTCAACATGCCAACCACACAATACTCAATAGAAGGCCCTAACATAATCTCCTCCGACCTCTCTCTCATCCACATTCGCCAACTCATGGATCTTCTCAACACGAATCACATCCAAGCCCTTGCCTAGAGCGCTCAGCGCATCGCTCCTAACAACACATGAAAACACCATATCCCACCCCTGAACGCCTGACGCATAGAATGCTTCGGCGGCCGCACTCTCTCTGCTCCCGAATCTCAGTACCTTGAAGACCTTCTCTGTCGGACTCGGCCCTCGTGCACTAAAGTCCGGAGCCAGATCCATGTATGCTGAGAGCACGACAATGTATACGAGCGACGTGTTCTCCAAATTATTAGCCACAGTGTGCGTACAAGTCGTAAAGACGTGACTAGCCCATACTCTTGTAATGCTGGCGTTCAGGGGCGAGATGGAGCGGCCCTCGACTTCGGTGCTCAGGTACTCCGTCGCGCTGGCAAGCTCGCCACGTTTGCACAGGGACAGCATGTGTGACTCATCGGACGCGGCCGGCCAGCGGTACCAGACTTCGATTTCGGCAGCGCGCAGGAGTGACGAGTGTTTGGCGAAGTCATAGGAGCCGGCGTTGTGGAAGGTGATGTATATTCTCTTGTTGAATATAGTGCGCACGAGTTTCTCTTCGGGCCTGTTGTCGTCTGTGTAGACTACAGGAATGAGTTCTGAGTGGGAGGTAATGATCTCAGAGCCATTCAGGGGGTCTGTTGGAACTGGATGCATACCACCAACATGTTCAAATGGAACCATACCTGGAGGTAAGGATGATCTGAGTGGCGCCCCCTGAGGTGGTGGCGGTGGAATGTAAGGGCTCTTACAAGGCCTCATGTTCTTTGGTGAGAATGCGGGGGGATTGCGGTGCACGAGTGGTGTAGGCGCCTGATTCGTAGACACAGGCATTGATGACCTGGGAGCTGTTCGTGCTAAATTGGCATTGGGGACAGGACCAGGTGCAGAGGGTGCCTTCGTGATTTTTGGTTCGTGGGACAGGGTTGCGGTGTTTGGTCTCATCGAGGTTTGCAGCGTCTCCTCGTCTTGCTTGTCCTTCGATGCAAGGGACACTATTGGCCGTCTGCTCTTGAAGGCAGTGTGAGGACTCTGCGCCGCAGCGCTTGCGTGGGTGGCATTGAGCTCATTATTACGTGAAGTTCCTGTTTCGATCGAATCCTTAGTTTGAGGCGTGTATACATACGCTGTGTCTATACCGTTCCGAGTCTTTCTTTCTGTGGAGACCTGGCACCCATCGTCGTAAGGCGTGTTGATTGCGTCGACAAATACCATATCTTCGTCGTTCCTCATTGTCAGTCGGGTTGATCGATGAAAAGGAGTTGGTTGGATCGTAGAAGATTGATTTAGCTTTGGACTACTCTACATGTGTGATGACGAGCGATTCTTATATCCCATGATGAGATAAGCGCCCAGGTGCCGATGTGTTGGTGCAACGATGCCTCACTTTAAAGCTCGATATCATGGTATAGATAGGGTCCATATTGTGAGGCAACGCTAAACCGAATTGATACTTCGAGACGACCCCCAGGTAGCGACGGCGAGGCCATACATCCCATACCCAGTGCATACCAGCATTGACAGGTATGACCAGTCCAAGGCTGCTGCATTGCTGTTGCATTGTTAATGCTCCGAAGCACGCTGTACGTCCTCGGAAGCCAGCTCCTTGGTAACCAATTAGGGATAAACATTACACTTGGTATGTGCTGGCAAGGGAGCAACTCGGCTACGCCCTCACTACAGTTATTTGAGGACAGCCAATGCTTCATACCTGGGAGGCTTAGACACACCAGTCGGTGAGCTCCCTCTGCATGGCGGTAGACCGCTCAGAACAAACCGCTGTTTTTTAGCGCCCAGCTTTCGGACTTCCCCACGCCATGGCGTCCACTTTCTAAGATGAAGCTTAAGAGTACCAGTCAGCATGACCTCATCGAAAAGCACATCTACATGATATGATCGGACGTGCACCGCCCCCCTCCTATCTGTATAGCTCATGAATTTGTTTTTTTCCGAAAAGACACAACCACCCGGGGGTCGCAAGACTCACCGATCACCGATGTGTCTATGGGTACATAGGAGTAGCGATGACTAACCCGTTAAGGACTTATAACCCATTCTTAATGACAGGGGTAGTCTCATTAAACCTGGTAAGTGGCTTTATGCACAGCTAAAGGATCTTCGAGACAGGTTGGCATGTTAGAATGAGGATTATGTATGAGGATCCGACCAGGCATCCACGCGATCGCTCTAAGAGAAAGTGTGATGGAAAATGATTCTGCTTGTTCTGTAGAGAACGGGACAACGAGTGTGATTCACTTGTCTCGAAAACAGGCTATCAAGTGTATAAAGCTAGCAACAGCAGAGCCCCTGACAGGATGCACGCAGCACTGGCGGCTGGTGTGCGACAAGGCGGCAGGGGCAGCTTCATGCATTGCTCGAGCGGGACTACGGATCGTCGTATACGGGATTAAAAGCAAGTCCTGCCGCTCGAGACCTGCCTCCCAACCTGCCATTCTGTGGAGGAATTGGATACTGAGGCTATAGTTTCTACCAAGTCAGACTTGGTTAAGACTCAGCTGGATGTATATAAAAGTCTGGCAGAAGGTTGGATTGCTTATATCATGCGACACATGGAGGTGCCAACCCCTCACAAGAAACTTCCATGATCGCTAGATGCATCATGATCTGACCATAGAGGGTATCCCGAAAAAAAAACCACAGACGCTCTTATCGCCCCATTGTGTTCAAAACTTTGCACCGAAATGCTCCTTCGCATACTGTTAACACGTCTAACAGAGCCTCTGGTCGGCATACGGGTCTCCTTTACACTCCCCTTTGATTGCTGTAACACGAATTACGCCGATGCAGCCGTTCTTGCTAGACACTTTGAACTCAAACATGGCCTCGACAAAAAGCACAAAGCACAGGCTCAATTCTGGGTGTTTGTTTGGTCGACAGGCCGAGGTAATATACTGTATCATATGGTCCAACGCGTTCTTGCGTCCATGCGCTTGCAGCATCCGATCAGCGAAGCAGCGTTTTGCTTCTTGACCAGAATTACATCCTTGCATATCTTGGAGCGTACTGCATTGAGCTGTTCCGCGGTTGCGCGAGGGCACTGCAGCCCCGGCACGCACCCACATCACATCCCTGATAAATGATCTCCCATTCTGACTCGTCATGATTACGGTATGCAAGCCACTCGACACCCCGGGACCCTCAAAGGAAACCATCTCTAATGCATTTGTTTTCGAGCATTACAAGACCTGCATAGATGTTCTTTACTCCCGCCGCAAGTTGCGATGGTAAGATGGATCTAGAGTCTGGCTGCAAGAGTAGTCGGGACAGTAACTTCCCGACTGGATAATCAATGTATTATCATGACAGAGTAGTGCGGGCATAATATAAATCGAGTTTAGAGGCCTACAGCATGGATAGAATAGACACGGTAGCCCGGGGTAAAGCTACTCTTGGCAACAATTTGTTGCCAAGAGTAACTTTACCCCGGCTGAAGAGCTTCCACCGCCCCAACTTCTCCTTCTCCTCCTTTAGTCCAATCAATTATCATGCCTGTAACACGACCATCTTTTGATGCTGTTGCGCGGCAGCAATGGCCCGTAAGTGCTACCTTATGGAACTACCAATACAGATTCTTACGACGGACTCAGGCTCTACATGTAAAATCCGCCTTATTTTAGGCGTTATGATAGGTTCCATTGGTGTCAACGTCTTATGTTATATCTACGAGAGGACATTTTTAACCAGACGAAGTGCATGTTTATTTTTGTTCTTCGGCCAGTTGCCAGCTAAGGACCCTATTATTAGCGATGCCGTAGGGTGTCCTTTAGTCCTAGATTGCAACAGCTGGCATAGCTCAGAAGTTTGAACTGAAATCGACTGATTTTAACTAATGTTAATCGCCTATGCCTCAAAACAACATTTAATATACGTGATTTTGGCTTATTTCGACTGATTTTGATCGCGCATGCCTCAAGACAACACACAATACACGTAATTTTAACTAATTTTAACTTATTAATCACGCGGACTAAGCAGGATCTAAGACTGAACTTCTGACTCTCAACCTTAGACTTTTGACTCTTGGAAGTGTGGCCCTCGGACACCTACCGTCGACGATAGTCTTAGGTCAGGATGATGTTATTAACCGACTTCCCACACGAGTTTCTCGAATGTGATAGGCTGATGATTAAGCTTGAAAGGACCCAGCTTCGGACCGGCACAAGGTGGGAGTAAACGATGACCCGAATGCAGATGACTGACTGATGGCATTTGCTGGAGAATATTGCGGGCCACGATACAAAGGGGAAAGGGCTCTTCTATGACTATCGTCAGGAGATGTGAAGTCGGAAATTGATGCTCTCGCTTCCAGGACGGATTATTCACAACTCCGAAGTACCCCCGGTTTGAACTGTACACTTCACCCTCGAAGTCGTCTACAGCGCGAGGATTTATTCTGTCATGTCTCAGCTGTCGATCTTGCTTTCCACCATAGTGTCTTCTCATGTCTCTCCCTTTCCTCTTCCTTTTTCCTGGGAGGTGCATGCTACCTGCCTGGAGATGTGTAACTACAGCGGCTCAGACTTCCTATCAAACAATCAGCTCAATTCTGTGCCTATATTTGAAGCTGAAATGAAGTACTTCAGTTTACCCTGCTGTATATTTGAACTGGACTGTCAGTTCTAGTAGTAGAATTGAAGTTGACTGAGTTGAAATGAAGTTTAGTAGGTGGTCGAAGAAAATCGTGAATATAGTCAAAATATAGCATATTTAAGGCTATATAGATAATTTTTGTATACCTTTTCGTACACCTAGACGTAAGTCGTCTAAACCGTCTATGTTTCTAGTATAAGCTCGGCGGTATAATCTCGGCGGTATGATCTCGGCGGTATAAACTCGGCTCGGAATGGAATATCATTTTTCCGGTATGCCGTAATGCCTAACCTCCTAGGCCACCTATAGTCTACCCATATACATATACGAATATACTAAGTATATATATACTTCAGTTCAGTCCAATTATTTACAGTTCAGTACTATCTTAAATTGAAGTTGAATTGAAGTTGAACTGATTGATAGGAAGTCTGGTGTGGCCTGATTAGGGTACTTTTCTTGTAGGCTAGGAAGTAACCCTTCTTGACTCTATAGGTAACGAATCCATTAACAGAGATAGCGCCACACGCGCTGTACGTCTGGCCATGATTAATGCGAGCAGATTGCGTAGGTGTCTCTCCACGAGGAGCCCTACCTCGCCTCATCCACCCTGTTTTCTCGTTGAAGATAATCTCATCAATGAATACAAGGCGCTTAGTAGGTAACTGGGCAATATCCTCACGATAGGAGCGACGTGCAACCTTAGAGCGGTCAGAGCTAATACGCTGTAATAGCCGCCGAGTCTATCCTCGCTTTTTTGTCAGGTTACTATCTCGAGCTCTTTATATAGCCAATCTAGATTATACCTCAGGCGCTGGACTGTCGATATAGATACCTGAGACTTCTCTACGGTAATAGTAGTTGGCACGTCGTGCTCGAGGATAAACCCTACCAGGTAGGCCTACTATCCATACACGCGACTGTAAGCCTAAAACACCGGAAATATATGAAATAAGGGCTATACTAAGTCCTAGATGGCCTCAAAAACCTACCGAATACGTATATTCGGTAATTACGACGCGTGGGCGACGAGTATACGACAAAATGCCAAAACATGCGAGTGCCAAGCTCGTCCGGTTCTAGGAAAACGACGGATTGACCCCTGGGTTGGCTCGTGTCTCAGCAATTCCTCACAATCGTGCGTTACCTGCCACCGGTTTCCGGCAATCAAACTCGGGGATGTGGGAAGGTTTCGAATCAGCCTGTCGTGGGGGGCAACTCGTTCCTGTATATTATGCCCGCACTACTTTCTGTCTTTTTCATGGTAACTAGCAACATACGCTATAGGTATCCCGGCCAATGAAACAGAGGTCAGGCAGATCAACACAGGGATTTACCCTTACTCAGAAAGCCCGGAAACTTTTCACTGTCACCTTTGGCGCCGAAATTTGTCAAAGGTGACAGATTTCGGCGCACACAATTCAAATTGGTGGGAATAGAATTCTTTGTGGGTTTACGACGCCAGTACCTATCGTCGAATTAACTTCCTCCTCGAGCACGACGTGCCAACTACTATTACCGTAGAGAAGTCTCAGGTATCTATATCGACAGTCCAGCGCCTGAGGTATAATCTAGATTGGCTATATAAAGAGCTCGAGATAGTAACCTGACAAAAAAGCGAGGATAGACTCGGCGGCTATTACAGCGTATTAGCAAGTAGGTACAAGTGTTGTCTAGAAGGTGGCGATAAGCTCCTGGGTGATACAAGAGCTTCTCAAATATAGTAGAACTGCCTGATTTTATAACACAAAGTCAGCCTCGCTAGACAGGTGCAAATAATCACAAGCGGGACTTAAAAGACGCCCCTACCGTTTGTATCATTTGCATGGTGCACTATACTTTCTTACTAGCGGACGCTATGATTGATGGAGGACAAGCACTGTATTGTTTACTGAGTCCTCCGCCATAGGTCCACTGGTTGCCTACTTACTGAGCCTCAAACGTCGATATCCCAGAGAGGCGTCCTGCGCGCCCTGTAGCTCTCATCACTAAAGGAACCAAGAGAGGGCGTGTGGCATCAGGCATGATCCATCGATACTTCCCACTGTGTGCATGCTCATTTCTCCATTCCAGGGGCGCTCGAAAGCAATCGAGGTGACCGAGCATCTTGCTGGGACATGCTACGGCGCACGAAGCTCAGTGGAAGAGGGGAACGAGGTTAAGGCGTGCATCTAGACTGCGCGGTGCAGGCATTCGGAATGTGTGTGACACCCCATCATCTCTTGGGGGATAGACAGGGGCGCAATTTGTGAAGCGTCTTAAGCGCCCTTCCACATTACGGCTATCTTTAGTACCAGGAAGAAAAATGGGCCGGACCACGACCAGTGCAGTGTGTTCATGTCTGCTACCATTAAACTGGATGGTTTGGATAACAGTCTACACAAGGAGAGTGGTGTGAAATGTCAGGATCAATCACGCAAGGGTAGTAGACAGGAAAGCCTACCTTATATAGATTCGTCTCACCATACGCTTCGAGTAGTTACAAGCTAACAACGAGTTACTGACAAGCATGGCTGCTCCCACGGTCCATTTCTTACCTCAAATTGTCAGATCAATTTCTTGAGGGCCTACCGAGTATGAGATATCAATCATTACCCGTTACGAAGATCATCTTCTAACATGTATGCAATGCAAACCCAGGCGTCTTGTCTTCTGCCCTGAGGGCACAGCCCTGGCTCGCACCTTACTAAAGACCTTTGACACGGGGGATGGAGAACTTCTTTATGATCCGTAGACTTTTTGGTCTTCCCTTCGTGGGGCGACGAAAGAATCAGAGATGGGGCTATCGCTATGTACTTGCAGGGATGGACATTCACAGTCTTCAGTTACCGAATGCGGGAATCGTTTAATGGCTTCCCTGACGCCGTTACAGGTGATCTCAGCATGTCGCGTTCTTGTGCGGGCAATGAGCAGATTCATTTGGTAAATCGTTGGTACTCTTTTCGCGTTCGCCTCAGGACCAGCAACAGTCTCATTCGTCACGATGCAAGCATGGAAATGATTCTTCATTTGAGATTTGTCGGGTAGTTTGCAGAGACTCCCTTGGACGGCGATGACAATCTCCTCAATCCGCGAGGTAATTATCCAGCTCACATGCGGGAAAGCCACGCAATGCTGATATTGCCTCGTACAGATGCAAATGCAACCCTCAATACGTCGACTCCGGTCTCACGAAATCCGAATTCAGATCATCTAAGCCCTAGCACAAGACTTGAAGAGGATATTTGGCCTACAAAGTTCGCTTTCGACAATAGGTCTTCTTTTTCTTGATCCTTGTCGAAGCAGGAATCTGTCCATGATAGCATTCATTTCGAGAAGTGGATCTCCTAGCTAAGTGAGCTGAACGAGACGGTTCCTTGACATGGGGGAACTCGAGACCAGTCAAAATATCTAGATGTAGACCCCATTCATGACCTCGTTCAAACAGTATTCTGTGAATTAGTTGCCAACGTTTCCGGAGTCATTCTCGAGCGACTTGCGAGACGATTGCTCTTCAACAGCCGTGGAACCGTACATTCAAGCATTAACCTCGCTCTCTCTTTGGACGTGCATCTTGCGACAGGCTCAAAATTTGAGCTCAGATTGAGCTTGAATGGATTCGGATTGCAGCATTGCAACTCTGACCACTCTTGTCTCCGGTTGATATAGATATCTGCGGCTGCAACTTCTCCATATACAATCGGATACAATTCGTGGGCTTGGATTAGGATTGTATGATTAGTCACCCTGAAAGTACGAAATCAAGGCTGATGGATAATCATGTCTGCTGACCAGCTTACAGTAGTATTCGCGAAGTAAGGTCAAGATATCCACATTCGTCTCCAATGCAATGACGATTCCTGCGGCTTTGTCTGCGAGTACTTTGCCCTACCTCTTCCTCAACAGTCATTTCAAGCCACTTCAAGAACCATCGCCATCCCTCCGTAGCCCAACGACAGAACATTAGATGTGTTGAGAGGCTCGATCGCAGGCACTCTTCTGGTGATGTGAAAGCCAAGCCACTTGGCCGAACGCTTGATGCAGTGAAATCCTTATAACGGTGGTATAAATCGCGACCCCCTTTTGTGACTATCCAGAGGGTAGTGCCTTCGATTACATCAAACTGATGGTGGATTGCAGCTGGTTGGATGGACCATTCCTGATGATTACCCAAGCCGTTCTCCTCAGATTTCTTGGTCGCGGTCCGTAGATTGTAACATAGCTGGAACTGCCGTCCGCTTCGGCCTAGCTCTGTTGTGACAGGTCCACGTGGTGCTGATAGAGTAGTCTGCTCCATGAAGGCACTGAATTTGAGATCATCTGGTTCGTACTTCAACCCGAATGCTAAAATAAAGTCCAAGTACGCTGGCATGACCTCATGATACGAGAGAACGTTTGTGAGCATGCTTCTGGACACCTTTAGAGCCGCTCTGCTGTGAATACCGTATATGTAGCTGCTAAAGATTAGTGCTTTGCTAAATCCCGTGACGAATGATACTTCGACTTATGAAATCATTCCACGTGCTCGGTACCAAAATATCATCAATGTGATCTGCCAACCTGGAGATATGTGACCTAGGTCGCAAGCCAGTTGCCTATACAAAGCCTCATATATTAACATGATAATTTTCAGCTTGTCAAAATCCTCGAAGCTCTTGGCGGCAATCCATGCACCCATACATCGAAGCAATCCAACGAGTCCAGCATGGATGTTAGGTTCCGATCCCTACTCACGCTGGGATACCTATGCGATGAAGGTATGTTAAGATTAAAGATTCTCTGGTCGAAAATGGCATATCTTGAATCGGAATGCCAGGTTGGGAGGCAGGAAAACTTATTTTTGATCCCGTATACGACGATCAGTAATTAGTGCCAGTGCTGCTTTGTCGCACACCAGCCGCCAGTCTGCGAGTCTATCAAGGGTCAAGACGTCCGTCCACAGCTTGGTTTCAGGCATGCTCTGGCGCGGAGCGTAGCTGATGGACAGTCTACAGGATCCCTGCTCCACTGGGCAATCGGAGTGCTGGTCCGGCAAGGAGTGTCCTGGCAACAGTACTGTAACGAAGTCACTCCTTCCGGTTCCCTTGTTCGTAATACAAAGTAGCGCCCGGGGTGGGGCTGCTCTTGGCAACAACTTGCTGCCAAGAGCGGCTTTACCCCGGGCTAGCATGTCTGCACTAGTGCCGGATCATACCGCACTACACCTTTAAGCATCGCCAGCCTAGCGACTTCCACCCAGAAGCAGCCTATCGTAAAACCTAGACCCTATGATGAGAAGATGGATTCAGTGCAGATACGACTGCGGTAGATCGACGACAGTTGCTAATTATAATTCTCAACACAAGTATCAATAGCGCCGGATTCCACCAGATCGCCTACCGCCGAAACGGTGGGTGTCTGCGTTGGTATCACTTAAACTTGAGTGCATGAGGGACTGGAGAATCCGAGTCCACAATCATAGTCTGCCCTCCCCCCGTCCTTACCCACTGCTGTGTATCTCCAGTCTTCCTAGTCCCACTACAACCAAACTTTATCCCCAACCGCCATCATCATGAGAGGTTGGCGAAGTGCTCTATTGATCATTGTGGTCACAGTATTAGGTCTAAACCTCCTG